GGGGCCCCGCACCCTATACAAAAAAAAAAAAAAAAAAAAAAAAAACCTCAAAAAATAAGTAAGACAAATTAAACTAAAACTCCTAACTGCCTCCTCCCTTCCTGCCTTCTTATACTCCTATTACTCTCTAGTTAGGCATCTTCCCAACTAAACTCTGCCCTTAATTAAATAATCAAAAAGCCTAACTAAAAAAATTTAAATTAAAATTACATTCTCCAACTAAAATTTTAATCAGTCAATAAAACAAATGTCTTATAAAACCTATAAACTAGACTCCGCCCTCTGAACAATACTCAGCCACTCCTTACAAAATCTACTAAAATTTAATTTCAGTTCTCCATATAAAAACTCTTACAGTTCAAAACAAACATCTACAACAATTATCATGCACACGTGACGCAGCAACCCTGGCTGCCTTCTGATTCAAACATCTGGCCGTAAGCTTTACATCCAGCTTTAACGCTTGTTAAAGACAACTGGGGAAATTTAAACAGCCTGCATATCAAGCTCTACTAAAAAGTTGTTATTAATTCTGTTACTATTTCAGTCTTTGTTTTTTAAAGTCTTTACTGGCTGGGATTTGCTTTGTAATATATTCCATCCGAAAATAAAAAGGAAAGATAGCATTTCCGTTTTCCAGGGTGAAAGGGCGAGACCTGTCGTACGGCAGTGTGCATACAGTCGACATCACTTGCACTGCACATTTAAGGGAAGGCACCAAACCCTGCTATGTATTTTTTTTGCCACATGCAAAAAAAGATTTGCAAAATAATGATGACTATTAATGCTAGGTAATGGGTCTACAGAAGCTTATTTAAATTTTTTTTAATGATGATCATTTTGAAATCACCAGTACATACTAAAGAAAACTTAGTTTGCTTCATTTGCTAAGGGAGAAAAAGAAACATGTTTTTCTTTTCATTGCCAGAAGGTGCATACAATCACCAGAGAGAAACAGAGAGAGGAGGAAGAACCACCCCCTACCCCCGCCCCCCCTGCCTCCTGTACGGTCACGCCACAATCCCTTCTCCCTTCCCCATCCTGCTGAGATCTGGGGCATGCATGCACACGCGCCCACGCCCGGCATATTTTTCAAACTGCAGTTAACCACATGAGCTCTGGTTCCTTTAACCACCAGGCTGTGGGGACAGTCTAAGTAATACATTTATAGATAATATTTGGGTGAGACAATTAGACTATCTTAGCTTAAAAACTATCAGAAGAACAATTCAAATACAAATGTTCAGTCTTTAAAGCCTTATTCTAATTCTTAACTGAATTAGGGGAAATAAAAATCTCATTTTTATTAACAGTTCAGTTTTACTCATACAGATAAGTATAGCAGTATTTTGGGGGAAAAAAAGGAGCTGCGATCATTAATAAGCACACTCCATGGCTAAATAATTAATAGCCACCAGGCCAGCAGTGGTGTGGTGGTGAAGGGGCTGGATCCCGCATAGTTGATTATCCAGTTCGAGTGCTGGACCCAGTAGCTTAAAAAACACGCTGGGCACATGTGTATGCATGCCCAAAGTCCTGAGGACCAAAGAGAGAAGGGAATGCAGCACGGCCATGCCCCCCCACACACCCAGGGGTGCTTTCTCATTTTCTCTCTGTCTCTATCAAGCTCACGCAACCTGTAGAAAAAAAAAATTAGTAAAAAATTAAGGCTCAGTCTGTTCCTTTCTACTAATCTGAAGGCTACGATTAGAATATAATCATATCTTATAGGAATTAAAATTTGTTTTAATTGTCAGAAGGTGCATGCCCTTGCCAGACAGAGAAAGAGCAAGCACTCCCACTAGAACGCGGCATGCCACGTCCTTCCTCCTCCAGTTCTCCACCTTGTCAGGGTTTGAGGCTCTCATGTGTACACACCCAACACGTTTCCCAAACTACCAGGGCTAGGATTTGAACCACGATCAACCGTTCGGGTTCCAGTTCCCTATGCACAATGCACAGCCCACTATCAAGTCTGTCTACTGCTTTAGCAGTCATGTCAAGAAGCACTGGTCTAGACACAGCTTCACCGGCTGGTCCTGGCTGCACACCTCGCTGCAGCCTAGAAAACCCCTCTCTTCCTGGGGGCTGCTGTGGGCCTCCTGCACTCCGAGCACAGTCCCTCAAGGTGAGCCATTCTTGTTCGTTTGTCAGACAGCTGGCATTTCAGGGGGACGAACAAGAAGCCAATACAGCAACTTCTCACTTAGCAGCCTCCCTGTGTAAATGACAGCACACTTGGACCCATTCTCCAACACAGGGGACCCCTTTCTCCGTCCACCTCATTCCCACGCTCGGTTATACGCACTCCAGGAAGCACCTGCAGCCTCTCGGGATGACGTCTCCTTTACAAATCTGCACTTTACTGCACTCCCACAGCGGTGTTCGGAGTAAGTAAAATCATCCCTGCGCTGTGGTGTGTCCTGTCGCTTTGCGTGTGGTGGAGTTACGTTCTCCTAGTGTGGTGTCGTGTGCTATCTATTGAAAAGACATGCCCTGTGGTACCAGGACACACAAGAGAGCTGCCTTTCAGTTTCTCATGTACAGAACAATGTGCTTGAACGACCTAGTCAGAGGAACCAGGGCTAGGTTGTTAAACCAGCGGTAAATTACTGGAACTTAGAGCAGCAAGTAAGTACAGGTTATTCAAAGTAAAAATCCCTCCAGTCCCCCTTATTCTGCAAAGCCGAAACCTGCCCGTTTCCATGGACTGTCAGGATGTGAGTGCATCACAGAAACGCGTCTGGAAGAAGCGCTGGGACATCAGCGTGCACTTGCACGGTCACGAACACTCGGCCCGCTACATCTGTGCTCCTGATTTTCATTTAATAGAAGTGAGCTCAATCTGCTCTAAGGAGACACACCCCTAAAACAGGCGTCTGTGCTCCGGTTTTGCACAGGTTTCCTCGGGGCCTACGGAAGGGGTGCGAGGCCGCGCAGTGCTGCTCCGGCTGCCGCGTGCGCGGGTGCAGACCCCTCTCTCCGCAGTCGCGCCCCCAGTGCGGCTCAGGCAGGCTCAGCCCCGCAGAGATCCGGGACGCAGTAAGGCCAGGAGACCCCGTGCCAGAGACCAAGGGCGAGACAGCGAGAGCGAGCGAGGAGGTGGAAGGACCAGGAGAGGACCACGGCGCGAGCCTGAGATGCGGCCCAGAGCGCGGGGCACGAGGGCCCAGTGTGGACGGAGGGCGTGGGGCGGGCACGCGCGGGCAGCAGGGCGGGACCCGCAGGTCTGGACACCACCGAGGGCAGCTCGGTGTGCAGGGCAGGGCCAGCAGAGGCCCCGAGGCTGGGCGGCGGAGTGCGGCCTCCGGATTCACCCCATCTCCCAAGGGCTCAGCCTACCTGGATGATCTCCGACTGCTCGGCCAGGGCCTTCCTCTGCGCCTCCAGGGAAGACACCTGCTGCTGATAGACAAGGCGCTGCTTCTCCCAGTCCAGCGACTTCTGACGGAACTCCTAAGGAGGCAGTTAGGTCCTTAGTTTCTCAGGGCTTCTGCTAGCTGTGCCCGCTCCCGGCTGGCTCCCTGGGTACACTCGCCCCTTTTCCACAGCAGACGCTGTTACTCCGCGCCCGGGGCAGCTGTCTCCCTAACCCTAACCCTAACCCTAACCCTAACCCTAACCCTAACGGTGGAGAGTGCCAATCGCAGAGGCGCTGCACTGTGTTCGGGGCGATTTTGTAGATTTGCTGCCACCTAAGGGTCGTTAGAATTTTTGAGTGATTTTTCTTTTTGTTTAGCAAACTGATTCTAAGATAACTAAAATTTCAAAAACAAATAAATCTTGTTAATCCAAATTTTTTATATCCAGACCCAGAAAGTGAAGAGATTCAACTAAAATTTTAAAGTCCCTTGGTAGCCTAATTCCTACTTCTCAATAGGTATAACTCAGAAACCGCAGATTCAGGTGACGTAATATCCTGTGACATCCACATTTTTATTACCTCAACAGAGGAAGCGCGAACACCTGAGTAACAAGTGAAATTAGTACTAAATTTTACGGTATTTTAACCCAAAGCCAAACAGTTCAAAATTAATACATCCAATTGTGTGGTCAAAAACCAAGCCTAGTGTTTATGAAAAGGGGCAAATCAAAGGAGAAGGGAACTCGGCCTTCCAGTCCCTATTCTCCAGGACCTTCAGCTCCAGAAGTCTCAGGATCCTTAGGATAATTACCATGCAGGTTTCCGATATCTGCTTGTGCACTCGCTCAGTCATTCTGCTGTAAGTGCCTGGTACTGCTTTAGGTGCCAGGGTCCAATATTCAAGAGAACAAACCAAGGCCTAACTCTGCCAGTGGGAAGGCAATAGACAGCACGCCCTCACTGAACAGAACGTGGAAGGCTCAGAGTAGGCGACGGCAGTTTTTAAGAGCGACTGGCAGATGGAGTAAGCATTTCACACCTACGGAGATGGGGTGAAGGTGTACTGTCCTGAGCAGGTGGGACAGCCTTGAAGCGGCGTACCCTGATGAGTGAGGGTAAGCGAGGGGGCTGCTGCGGCTGGAAGGAAATGAGCCGAAGGGCCGGCGGGAGCAGACAGTGTGGGAGAGTTAGCGAGGAGTGAGGCCGTGCGGGGCTTGAGGATAGCGTAGGCTTTGAAGAGAAGCTACTGGTACTTGTTTACAGGCAGTGACATGATTCAACTTACGATGGAATCATTCTGGCTGTCTTGCTGAGAAAAGAGAAGTCAAAGAAGATTCTGAGGATTTAGGGGAATGGAGTTGCCTTCAACTTATACAGGAACTGGTGCTGGAGAGGGGGAAGAAAAAGGCAAGACCTTTATTTTGGACCTGTGAAATTTAACACAGTTTAAGATATAAAACGGGCAGTTGAAAGTTACTCTGTAGTGAAAGAGAAGTCATAGCTAGATATACAAATTTGGGAAATGTCAACACATACACAGTGGTAAAGCTATAAGATTGAATAAGGTTACCAGAGAAGTGAGCATACACAGAAAAAAATAGAAAGAGGCTGGTGGGGAAGACATTCAATGATGTCTAGGGAACCCAGTGTTAAAAAGCTAAGGAACAGGGAGGCTGAGAAAGGGGCGTTACTAAAATAGGGTTAAACCAGGAAAATACGGTTTTTCTCACAACCAAGTTAAGACAGTGTTTCAAGGCGGAGGAAGAGACCGGCTGAGTCTGATGCTGCAGAGAGGATGAGGAAGATAAAGACTGGTCAGAGGCGTTAGGAATGTGCAGGTGACCGTGACCATGGAAGTGATTCGGGGTGTGAGAGGACACAACTGAGTGCATGCAAGAAAAATGGGAGGAAAGGAACTGGAGGTCATTTTAGGTGCATGAAGTAGAAAAACTGGGAAGTAGAGGAAGAGAGGGGTGAGGAGAGGATACTTTATTCCTTTTTGCATTGTTTCTAGTTGCCAGAAGGCACATGCACTAACCACAGAGAGAGGGAGAAAGCACCCCCAATGGGCCACAGTCACCCCGCAATCCCTTCCTCTCCATTTCTTCATCCTGTCAGAAGTTTAGGCGCGCACATGCGCGCACGTGCACACACACACACACACACACACACACACACACACCTGCCCAGTACATTTTTCAAATCACTGGGGCTGGAATTCAAACCATAGTCAGTCATGTGGAATCCAGCTCCCTTAACCACTAGGCTAGAGGCTGATACAAGAGACGATATTGCAATGCTAGAAGAAAATATCTAGGAAGGAGGATGCAGAAAAAGAAGCCAATCCTAGAGCCCGGTCTTGGGTGGGGAAGGATGAGGACAGGAATAGCCCCTCAGGAGGAAAGGCAGGGCGCATGGCACGGACGCAGTGCTGGAAGTCCATGAACAGAAAAGAAGGTAACAGCCCAGGTGAGGATGTGGAGAGAAGTTTGCAAGTTTGAAGACAAGAGCAAGTATGAAACCATCATCGTGGAAAGTGGGAGAATGAGAAGAAATACAGCATGATTTTGGTTACCATTTGAGGTTAGTGACCATGAATTTAAAATGAGACCAGCCAGCAAGGTCATGTTTTTCTCCAACCATTTTCAGTCACCCATAGCAGGAAGAGAATGCAGAGAAAAGTGGACTTAACAAGCATTATGGATTTTCCAAGCAAAGATGATGAAGCGAGAGGAGCACAGATGAGGAACGCAGCCGGATAAGGACTGGCAGGTGGGGACACAGGGAGACATGGAGTAGTGAGGAGGTGGCGGAATTCCATAACCTGAAGGGATTATTCATGACTGTCAAGAGTCAAAGGATTAGAGGGAGTGAGCTGAAAAGATAGGGATGAAATCAGGGATATGTTTAAAAATGAGGTTCTAGAGCGGTTGCAAATATTGGTGATGACAAGACCAAAGGAATAGCAATAGGAATAAATGGATAAGACAGGGAAGGCATCAAAATATCTATGGAGGAAAGAATGCCAAGGAGCTCAAAGGCCTTACCTGTGAATACTGAAATCTTTCAGGGTTATGAGGAGTAATGCTGGAGCGAGAGACAGTGTACTGTGAGTTGAAATCTGTGAGGCAGGGGAGTCACCCAAAGATTAGAAGTGACTGCTTTGGGGACCAGCAGTTAGCATAATGGCTATGTCGCTGGACTCCCATGTAGTCGACTGCGGTTCGCGTCCCAGACCCAGTGGCTTAAAACTCACGCCAGGCGCATGTGTGTGCGTGCCCAAGATCCCGAGCAGAGAATGGAGGAGAAGGGATTGCGGCGTGGCCATCCCCCCAGGGGTTGATTCCTCACTTTCTGTCTCTCTGTCTGTCTGGTGAGTACACGTGCCCTGTAGCAAAGCCTCTCCAAAAAAAAAAAGAAGTGACTGCTTTGATCCTATGTACATTGGTTGAAGGTATAGGGCTGATGACATGAAAATCAACAATGGGGTTTTCAAGTAGGAAGAAAAGACAATGATCAGGAAATGGCAATGAAGAGCAAGAAGGACAAAGGGGGTTTGGGTTAAAAAAAAAAAAGGGACTGGCAGTTGGAGTAACGGCTATGTCGCTGGACTCCCACGTTATTGACCGCATTTCGAATACCAGACCTAGTGGCTTAAACTCACAATGGGCACATGTACGTGTGTGCCCAAAATCTCGAGAGGAGAATGGAGGAGAAGGGATTGCAGCATGGCCATCCCCTCTGGGGGCTGACTTCTCACTTTCTGTCTCTCTGTCTCTCTCTGTCTTTCTGTTCTGGCGAGCATATGCACCCTATAGCAAAAACCTCTCAAAAAAAAAGGAAAGAAAGAAAGAAAGAAGGAATCACTTAAGAAGGTTGGAATGGAAGCAGTATCTATGTAGTACTCCAATTCTAACCTCATCAAATGTGCAAACACTGAGTGTGGAGCCAGCAGGTAACATGGAGGTTGAGGTGCTAGATCCCATGTGGCTGGCTACACAGTTCGACCCCCAGACTTGGTGGCTTGAAAGTCATGCTGAGAGTTAAAACTCACACTGGGAGCATGTGCATGCATGGAGAAGGAAGGAGAGGGGACTGCAGCATGGCCATCCCCCTGGGGGATGATTTCTCACTGTCTCTTTGTCTCTGTCTCTCTGGCGAGTGCACAGCCCTATAGCAAAAAAAAAAAAAAAAAAAAAAAAAACACCCCAAAAAAAAAAAAAAAAAAAAAAAAAAAAAAAGAAAAGAAAAGAAAATCATGCTGAGCAAGCACCAAAATCCCAAGTGGAGACTAGAGGGGAAAGGACTGCAGTGTGGCCATCCCCTCTGGGGGTGATTTCTCACTTTCCATTTCTCTCTCTCTATCTCTGTCTGCCCTATTGCAAAAACTGAAAACATAAAAAATACTGAGATATGAAAGAATATTGAATACTGAAATTACAATTCTATCAACAAATAATATATTGGTATTTGCAGATGATAGGCTTCCCACAGTATAAAAGTGTAAATAATCATACGAAGATGTTGAACAATGTTTCTCAAATTAGAATCACTTATGGGAGCTAAAGAAATGCAGATGCCGAGGCCCCGTGCCTGCAGCAGAATCTCTGAGCGTCTAAACAGCATCCTGGGTGACTTTTATGTGCACCAAAGGGCTAACCGCTAAGCTACAGAAGGGGAGTGCAGAGAGCGACCGCCTCGCACTGCTCCTTCCTCTGGGTAAGGCCGGCCCATCACACTCCTGTAAGTCCTCTAGAAAAATCAACATATATAATAATCTGCAATTATTCGGTCTGACTGAAAAAAACAATCGGGAAAGAGGGAGGCGCATGGCTTACTATATTTAAATGAGAACTGAAGATAAGCAATCTGATATGCAGAGTATTCTGTACAAAAAAAGCCATGGGCTGTCAGTATTGACCAAGCCCACGCTCTTAGGTGCTGGAGATATGATGACAGGTAAGACGAGGGCACTGTCCATGAAGGACTAGACGGAACTGGTGCTCAGTACTCTCAGTGGGGAGAGACTGGCGTTGTAGGTACCATAATCCTCCAGGTGTAACAGTCCCAGGCAGGTTTACTATCTGGTCCCCGTCCCCTGTACACCAGTTTCAAATACATTTTGACAACGGAAACAATGTCTCCACACACTTTCAAATGCCCTCTGAGGAAGGTACTGCCCTGTGGAGAATTACTGATAGCTAGTAACCCCATTACCCACAGGGAACCAGATGATGATAGGATGCACAGGGATCACCTTCGAAATAGCTCAGTGGCAGTCCTGGAGACAGCGGAAAATTGCTGTCAGGAAACAGCACCGTTAGAAATAGCATTTTCCTACACGAAGGCTGGCAAGCACTATGAGCAAATTATTACCACAAACATACCTCTATTTTTCCGGTTAACCTCTCGATTTCAGACCGATCCTCCCTGTGATTTCTGGTATTTCCTCTGAATTCCCTTATTTGCTTTTTCTGCAGCTTCTCATAGCTTCTCTTCAGTCTGCCTAACTGTAGAGACAGTTATTTCTATTTAAAATGTAAGAATGTGTACACAGTGGTGGGCTAAATTGGCATAAGAAAAGCAAAAGCAGTGTTAACTAGAGACAACAGATTGAGAGACCGCATGTTAGGCCTACGAACTAAAATACAAAACTACAAAATTCCATATGGAAAAACAATACAAGTAAAGCAACACATTAAATCAAAGAAAAAATAGGCTGAAAAATGCTTTTTCAGTAAAACTTTGACTTTTATCATAAAAGTCATGTACTTAGGCACCCCATCACTCACCCTCACAGTAAAAGCATTAAAAAAACATTTCTTTTAATAAGAAAACCTCCTTTTCTTTCCTCTAGGCCCGTGGTTCTCAAGCCATGCTCTCGTGGGACACTGATATTCAGTAAGCAGGAGAGGAGTACTTGGGAACTAAACCAAAAGCAAGTTGGTTTTTTTTTTTTTTTTCCCAAATCTGAACAATAAAATTGCATAGAATTTTTTACTTTTCTTATTTATCCTGAAATGCTTCTTAAATCCTTGTAATCTCCATTATTTAAAATTAAGTAATTGATTTAAGTCAAAAATTAAATTAAGTATTTTTTGGTATCAATATTTAGTACTGTTACATGAAAACAGCAATATTTCTTTCAGGTATCCAGCCCAGAGACATGCTGTGGGATCCCCATTCTATCAATAGATAGTATCAAACATGTAATGAAACAGTATCTCTGTCTGAATTAAAGAACAGAAAAAGCACCTCCCACAGAATATGCATTTCCCACTATACGAAGTTGAAAATGGCTCTCATTAACTATACGTTAGCGATGTTAAAGCAACAGAGCGCGAATCTCACTTCCTCCTGTAGTTTCTTTAGCTCCTGCTTATACTCCATGGCCATCTCTTGCTTGATTTTCTCATGTTCTTCTAACTGCTGATGCAACATTCCAACCTAAAAGCAGATGGGAGGTGGCATTTCTCATTATTACACTGAAACAACATCCCGGAAACGTAAGCGTAGGAAATAGCCTTTGTACTTATTTGCAAACTCCTAATTCTTAAACGTGCACATATACGGGAATATCTCAGGAAGTCAAATATCTAGTCATTTAATAATCCATAACACTGCCAAAAATCGGAAGGCAAACATCTGCTCCAGAATTTCTAGGTTTGGAGGAAAACTTGCTCTAATTTATTCTCTCCAATCATTTTCATTAAAAAAAAAAAAAAAAAAAAAAGCTCATGAAAAAATTAAGAGATATTAAGTTTTAAGAACTTTGGAAACAAAGAATACAAAAAAAAAAAAGGCTTCAAGAATAATTTCTATAAATCAGAGTGCAGAATAGTAACATCAGACAGAAAGACAATGGGCGATTACCGGCTTTACCAGTTAGCCAATGTGAGAAACAGTTCGCCAACCAGAGGAAGCGAGTCATCCTAATCCACTGTCAACGACTGGATGCCAATCACACTGTTTCATGCATTGCCCTATCTCCGTAGAAACCAGCAGGGATTCCCTTAATAACCAGTAAGGACTTCATCTACTGGTAAGTGAGGAGACAGAGGAAAAATGGGGAATAGGAAAGAGGAATTGCAGTCACAAGACAGAATACTAATTTTTGGAAAAACCTAGAAGGAAAATTCCTGTAAGAATAAGGGGTTAAGGGTGGGAGGGGGAGTGGCACTAAGACACTGGGGGCCACATAGGCGGCTGCACGATCTGGGTCCTGGACCTGGCGGCTTCAGAAACCACACCAGGAGCATGTGTGAGCGTGCCCAAAGTCCCAAGAAGAGAATACAGGAGGAGGCACTATAGTGTGGCCATCCCCAGGTGGGTATTTCTAACTTTTTCTCTTACCCCTTCTCTTTCTGTCTCTGTCTGTGGCAAGCACAAGCACCCTACAGCAAAAACTAAAAAACAATCTAATTTACCTGGCTTTGTGTTCAGTGGGTAGACTGGCACAAATTATGTAATCTACCCTTACCACATTTAACTACAGACAGCCTGAGAGAGATGTACTCCTGAAGCATAATTCTAGAGCCAATCAAACTTTTACTCAGGCTTGAAAGAACGTGATTTCAGAACATGAGATTTCGAAAGTATGTGCTACCAAGATAGAAAAGTAAACTTATAAAGAAGTTGAAAGAGAATACAAAGAAGATCTTCAGAATAATGGTGAAGGAAGATGGCAGCTATCCAACCAGCCTCAGAAGTAATCAATCCATACTTGAGACTGGCAAGATCCTGGAAAGATGTCTTCAGAGAAGGAAAAAGAAAAGAAATAGATAAATCACCTGATGTATCTAAACGCACTGAGACGAGAGTTCACTGTGTCAGAGAGTCTGGGAAGAATCGATGGTATATATGTTTTTAAAAAGCAAATAAAAATGAGACAATTATTAATTCCTAAGAAAAATTTCAAAACACTACAAGAAGATTATAGTTCTTCTGACTTAGCTGTAAATAGTTACCCACCTTAATTAAGTAAATACTGAATACTAATCTAACAAAAAATTAAGATGCACACTCCTGGCAGGAGAAGGAGATATAAATTATTTGCACAGAGCAGGACTCTCATTATCTGTAGTAGCAAGTCATCAGAGAAATAGCTTAAACTAAAAATTCAGGAATAGCAGTATAGGGCCAGGTGGCATGGTAGTTAAACCACTGGATTCCCACATAGCTGACAATAGATCGAGTCCTGGACCCAGTGGCTTGAAAATCACACCAGGTGTGAGTGTACGTGCCCTAAATCCTGAGAGAACAGAGAAAAGACTTCGGTGTGGCCATCCCTTCTGGGGAGGGTGATTTCTCACTTTCCTTCTCTTTCTGTCTCTCTCCTGTAAGTGCGTGTGCCCTATAGCAAAAATCTTTTTCTTTAAAGAATTATTTTATTTAACTTTGTTTGTTTGTTTGTTTGTTTATTTATTTGACCAGGGAGGGACAGAGTGAGGAAGAGAGAGAAAGAGAAAGTGAGAATCCGATAGCAAAACTCTTTTTAAAAAAATTAGCAGTATAGGGCCAGCCAGTGACATGGTGGTTAAGGGAGCTGGATCCCACATGGCTGACCACACAGTAAGTTAGGGTCCCACAACCAGCAAGTTGAAAAAATACGCCAGGTGCGCGTGTACGAACACTCGGAACTCCAAGAGGAAGAAATGGAGAAGGGCTGTTTCTCGCTCTCCCTCTCTCTCCCTCTGGCTCTCTGTTTCACTCGAGCTGGCGTGCACACCCTCTGCAAACTGGAAAAAAGAAAAAGAAAAAGCAGCAGCAGTGTAAGATACTACACAGCAACCTGGGGAAAACACCAAAATTAAGAGTGAAAGATACTGGCATTACTGCCTCAAGGCAGGAACCTTAGGTTCAACGGGGTGAGATAGAAGATTACTGTTCTTTCTTATGAATTTCATAGAACTTTTTTTCTCTGTATTTCCTGTATGTAACAAATATATATATTAAATGTGAAATAAAGATTTATTTATGTAGCAGTGTCTGATTCACAATGTACACACAATAATATTTAAGTTTCTGAAAGAAAAAATAAATGCCGAGACTGAGGGAGTGACATGGTAGAGAAATGAAAGTCAAGGTTTGAAACCATCAGTATGGTGACAGGAAAAAGAACTGAAGTAACTAATCATTTCAAACATGTATACTTTTCAAAGTGGTTTCTTTTCTTTTTTTTGGGGGGGGAGAGGTTTTTGCTATAGGGCGCGTGCGCTTGCGAGAGAGACAGAGAGACAGAATGCAAGAAATCACCCCCCAGGGGGAATGGCCACGCCACAATCCCTCCTCCTCCATTCTCCTCTCGGGATCTTGGGCACACACGCACAAGTGCCCGGCGTGAGTTCTAAGCCACCGGGTCCAGCACGCGAACCGCGGTCGACTACGTGGGAGTCCAGCAACATAGCCATTACGCCAACTGCTGGTTCCCTCAAAGTGGTTTCTTACAAAATAGCTCAATCTTCACAGCAATACTGGGACACAGGGATTATATCCTAGTTTCACATGATGAAACAGGATCAGAAGGTTAGATTATTAGTCCGAGGCCATTAAACTGAAAAAGGCAGAGCCAGAACTCTACGTTTCCCATTCATTTAGTTAATTCAGCCTGCTCTATGGGGAGTGGCAAGGTAACAGCAGCGGAACATCCATTAAAACCAACGGAGCCCCAAACCTGTAATCACGACAACACACCAAGCATGGACGTGCACAGTGAGCTGTCCACAGCGCTGCTCTGGCCCTAACCTGCGGCTGGGGCTGCCCACACAGCAGTCCCGCCCGGGTGAGGAGCCTGACACACACAGCAAACGCCGCTCAGTGCAAAGCTTTCCCAGTGGGGGCTCGTTACACTGATCTACATTCATCTTGCTGTGGACCTGTCATTTGAGGCTTATACCTTTCAAATGAGTAAAAACTTAAAAGCCCTATTTTCTAAAGCAAGACATAAACTTTTTTTTTTTTCATAAGGCACATGCATTTGCCAGAGAGAAACAGAGAGAAAGTGAGAAAGCACTCGCAATGGAACATGATCACACCAGTTCAATCCCTTCTCCATTTCGCCTTCCTTTCAGGATTTTGGGCACATAGGCACAGCACCTGGGATGTTTTTCAACCTGCCAGGTCCAAGACTTTAATCACGTGGTTAACCATGTGAGATCCAGCCACCTTAACCTCCAGGTCAGGGAATGGCCCAAAAGAAGTATTTTAATGCAATATGATTTCACAAATGCTATAATAGGCTGTCCTTACGAGTGCTTGGTAAAAGGGCACTACTTCCAGAAACGTAATCAACTCTCAGCAGCCCGATCAATGAAGCAGCAAGCTCACCAGAGAGCTGCAATTCCAAATTTCTTATACGTCCCCAGGCCAAATGGGTAATCTTCAACTCCTTACTATGGAACCTACCCATTCAACCTCTTAATTTGTCTTCAAGGCAATAAATAACGGTAGCAATACCCTTGACTTCAAAACTAGGCCAAAAGAGCATGTTCAAACTTAACGTGAGAGTGACTGAAGAGTCTCATAATCACAAACACGGCAATTTCTTTAATGAGTTTCTAACAAAACAACCTAAATATCTGTATATAGCGAGGCTTTCTTAACTATCACTCTAACTTAGTACCTGGAAAACACTGTTTTGTCTTAGAAGAAATAAAGAGATTTTATGGGGACCAGCAGGTGATGTGATGGCTAAGGCGCTGGACACTCCCACATGGCCGGCCACAGTTCAAGTCCCAGACCTGGTGGCTTGCTTTCTCACTTTCTCTCTCTCTCTCTCTCTTTCTGTGTGTGTGTGTTTCTTTCTGGTCAAATTAAAATAAATGAATGAATAAATGAAATTAAATAAATAATTCTTTTTTAAAAATTGGTAATATAGCTTACCAGAAAAGGAGCTCTGACCCTCCCTAAATTATGATTTCTTTTAAAAATTCAAACATAATTATCATCAGTATACTTTTTCATTGTCTTCTCTCTCTTTACATAAGGTCTGATTTCAGAATACATTCTCAAAGCCCTACCCAAATTTCAAAATGAATTCCAGTTAACAAATGGCATTCACAGGAAACATTCCAGTATGGCTGGTATTTGGGTACTGCTTTGACACACATAGCTAACCACTGAGAGTCTCCTGATAAGCATGAAATCATTTTTTTTTTAAATCTAGCTCTTTCCTTGTTCCGTGAAGCCTTTCTGAGCTACTCTTACTGTTACCAACCACGCTTCTGTACCACTCACAGAAATGTAGTTGAATAAGCTGATGACAGCTTCGATGAGTGCCCATCCTGCTGGCAGGAAAGGCCTCCGGAGCGTGAGCGGGGACCAGTGTTTCCCCGCAGCTCGTCCAATGCTGCTGCTTCCTTTCTTTTTTTTTTTTAAGAGTCGAAAATATCTTTATTCACAGATGACATGATGGTATACGTAGGAGACCCAAAGATTTCCATGAAAAAACTGCTTGAAGTAACAAATGAATACAGTAAAGGGCAGGATACACGATTAACATCCAAAAATCTATAGCATTTCTCCATATGAACAACAAGTTGAATGAAGTAGAGCTGAAGAAAGGAATCCCTTGCACCATAGCCATAAAATGTCTAAGATACCTAGGGATAAACCTAACTAAGGAAGTCAAAGATCTTTACAAAAAACTATGAAAATCTTTAAAAAAACAAAAAATGTTGAAAAGAATGTAAAAACATGGGAGTATATCCCATGATTTTTTTTTCTTTAAGTTATTTTATTTAACTTTTATTTATTTACTTCCTTCTTTATTATTTATTTATTTTATTAATCATACATTAAATCGCTATACGTCATTTAGATTGTGAAGAGACTTCACCCAGCATGATATACACCTCAGTCCAGCCCAATTGAGATGACCACACATAACCCCGTCAACAGATAATAAACCTTATCTGTGTCCCACGAGTGTCTTACCTCTCCATTTCCCCCCAACTTTCCTATCTTCCCCTCTCACCCTATCTTTCCACTTTGTCTCTAGTGTCCATTACAATTTTTAACACTTTCATGTTTTCCAGTCTTTCGTCTCTACCATACGGCCATACCACCCTGAACTCGCCCGATCTCATCTCGTCCAGTGCTTCTGAGGTTGACGTTCACACCAGCGATTTAGAGGCAACTCACGTGCTTGTAAAAACTTTCTGCTTCCCTTTCAATGTTCACTGAACTTCCTCCTACTATGCAGCTAAATTATGAATGATAAATCAAATGTTACTAAACTTTTCCCTCAAATTATCAGTATCAATGAACGGTAGAATTGCAAGTAAGTTTCATTTCCTCTTTTCTTTTCTCCTCATTTTCAATAACCGTAATACAATTTAGGGTTTCTTAATTTTATTTTGGTTTTAAACCTCACCAAAAGAGGTGAATTGTTGAAATTGGGTTTTATATATAGCTTTTATATACTTTATTATTTTTTATACATTTAATCACTGTATATCATTACAGCATACAAAACGAGTTTTCCCAGCATAAATACACTGTATATTAGTCCAGTTAAAGATGTTTTAACTATTTCTTTTATTTATTATTATTTTTTAATTTGGTCAGAAGGAGACAGAGAGAAAGAGAAAATGATAAAACAAGCCGACTTGAACCGTGGGAGCCCAGAGCCCCACCCACTATGCCACCTGCAGCCCTCCTTTCCCCCTCCCTGTGTTAAAGGTATTATCATAGACATTATCAACAACAGATAATTTTCCTTTTTTTTTTGGAGAGGTTTTTTGCTATAGGGCGCATGCGCTCGCCAGACAGAGACATAGAGACAGAAACCAAGAAATCACCCCCCAGGGGGGATGGTCACACCGCAATCCCTTCTCCTCCATTCTCCTCTCGGGATCTTGGGCACACACGCACACGTGCCCGGCGTTGAGTTTTAAGCCACTGGGTCCTGGACTCGAACCGCGGTCGACTATGTGGGAGTCCAGCGACATAGCCATTACGCTAACTGCTGGTTCCCATAATTTTCCATTTTTGTGTCCCTTGAATGTTTTCTTTCTTTTCCCCTTAATTCCCTCCCTCTCAGCCTCCCCCATTTCCACCCGGCTCCCACTCTGTCTCTAGCATCCACAGTTGCTCTCCATGCTTTTATGCCTTCCAGTCTTTCCGTTGCTGCCGGAGAGTGCAGACATTTGGTATAAACTGAGTGGGCCATGCAATGCCTCTTTTCACAGTCTGGCTGCCTCGCTTAGCAGCAAATCTTCCATATTCACCCATTTTCTATCAAATGCCTGGGTCTCATTGTTTCTATAGCTGAGTAGTATTCCACAGTATATATTTGGTTTTTTTTAAACCAGCTGTACTATGGGGCCAAAAACGCTTTCATAAAACTTAGTGAATGTTAATATGAACATAGAAGGGTTATAAAGAGATCATGTACTCTTACATTTTCTTGAAGAACTTACTATCATAGACCAAGATAATGTACTCTTTGAAATAAATATTAATATTTTACATTTGCACAATTAATTTTTTTCTAAGAAGAACCCATCAGAATTATGATTTAAAAATAATTATTGGGACCAGCGAGTGGCATGGTGGTTAGGGGCACTAGACTCCCACGTGGCCAACCATGGTTCAAGTCCTGGACCTGGAGGCTTGCTTTCTCACTTTCTCTCTCTCTCTCTCACTCTGTCCCCCTCTGTTCAAATTAAGTAAGTAAATAAAGTTAAATAAAATAATTCTTTTTTAAAAAATAATAATAATTATGAAACTAACTTGATACACAATGCTTTCTTCATAAATGTTTGGGAAACATGTCTAATAAAAAAGGCAAGATTGGGACCAGCAGTTAGCGTAATGGCTATGTTGCTGGACTCCCACATAGTCGACCACGGTTCACATCCCGGACCCGGTGGCTTAACCTCATGCCAGGCACGTGTGTGTGTGTGCCCAAGATCCTGAGAGGAGAATGGAGGAGAAGGGATTGCGGCGTGGCCATCCCCCCTGGGGGTGATTTCTCACTTTCTGTCTCTCTGTCTTTCTCTGTCTGTCTGGCGAGCGTACGCGCCCTATAGCAAAAACCTCTCAAAAAAAAAAAATTAAAAGGCAAGGTCAAATATTAAGAACCAACTGCTTCACCTCTTTGTGCTTCATGTCCAACTGACTCCTGAGAGTCTTGAGTTCCTGCTCGCGGATATCCAGACAAGTCTCCAGAGCATGCGTCTGCCCTTCCCACTCGGATTTCTTATGAGCCACCATTATATCAATCTGCTTCATGAGCTCCTGTAGCTCTGCTTCACAGGATGTCAGAAAACCCCTATAAATAAAATCAGATCATGAAGAGCACAGAACACATGACCAAGTGGGTTTTTTAAAACTCTTTCATGTGTAAAAGTATAGTAGATGTAAACCTACCTAAGGTAGAAAATGTTAATAAATTACGAGAAGCAAAACACAGAGTTTCTAAACTTCTGTTTTTATTTTATCTTATTTATTTTACTTTACTTTTTAAGAGACAGGGTCTCACTATTTTGCCCAGGCTGGTCTCAAACTCACAACCCTGCAGCCTCAGCCTCCCACGTCAGTGGGATCACAGGTGCACGTCACTACCCCTGCTTTTAGTGCTCCTTTTGAGATTATTCTTGCTCCACATAACATTTTGTATACTTCTACCGGCCAACGTAAAGCCCAAGTCATCTGATCGAAAGACGCACATCTTAAGCCTGGCCTGTGGATGAAACTTCCTCAACTAACGGCCAGTGCTTTTGTGGTATTTTAGGGACACTTCCAGGGAGAATGCAGACAAACCTGTCAGTCAGACTCTCACCTATCGAAATAAAAAGGCTTGGAAGCTACCAGGCTATCATATAAAAATACTGATACAATTTTAAGAATTACTTCCAGGGAACCAGCAGTTAGCATAATGGCTGCACGTAGTCGACCGCGGTTCGCGTCCCGGACCCGGTGGCTTAAAACTCACGCCAGGGGCGTGTGCATGCGTGCGTGCCCAGGATCCTGAGAGGAGAATGGAGAAGGGATTGCAGCGTGACCATCCCCCAGGGGGGTGATTTCTTGCTTTCTGTCTCTCTGTCTCTGTCTGTCTGGCGAGCGCACACGCCCTATAGCGAAAAAACTTCTCAAAAAAAAAATTACTTCCAGAAATCCGTCCTTGAGCCAGAGCTATTTGAGCTATTTTTTCTCACCTTATTGGTAGAAACTTACTGTAACCTCCCTTATCGCTGTAAACTTACTGGTATCCTTATAAGTTTCAGGAAACTCCAGAAGTGGAAATGAAGGTGGACATAGATGTAGTAAGGAACATTTTCAGGAACGGCCAGGGGGAGCTGTAACCAGTAAGGTTCTGAGAGTCACAGAACCTCTGAACCTCCACTTCCACTTCCACGCTGCAGGAGTGGAAAGCTCAAGGCGGGAGGAAGGCAAGCACCGAGCGTCACGCCGCTGCAGGAGGCGAACACACATGCTGTCTGGATCATACTTTTGCTTCTGAGCCCAAAGCACAATACGATCAGAAGCACAATCTGGATCTGCTTTGTAAACTGCAGAGAGAAGCAAACTTACCCATCATGCCCCCGATTTTGCATTCCTTCCAACAAAGCCTCCATCGCCAAATCTCCTTTGCTTTGGCAACTGAAAAGTAAAAAATAACAAAATAAAAATCACACTCACGAGAAAACTCATTTTTTTTTAAGTTCTAACAACCCACCTTACAACTGAAAAATGTGAATAAAGGCGGACAAATAACAATTTTAAAAATGCAGTACTTAAGATGTGTCTAGAAACGGCTGAAGGATATTTCAAGAAATATTAGGACCAAATACATTTCATAGGAAAATAAAGCTATCTGAATTACTGTCAAAACGCTCCCCATATAAATGTCAAATACCTCAGCATTCTATTGATACGTCTAGTTCCTAATGTAAGGTGGTCTTACAGGTGGTCCGAAGTGGTCATGGGGGTTTTTCTAGCACAGCAACCCTGACAACTCCCTTACTAAATGACAGAGAGAAACTGAGGTCTTACATGTCAGAGGAAACGCGTATTATTTTCCCTTCGGAGATTTATAAAGGTAAGAACTGCACTGCAGTTGAACTCGCTGGCCTCACAGGAGGTCCTACTCACCCACGTGGCATTTCCCACGACCTCCTCCCCTGAAAGGCCCTCTCCTCTGCACTCGTCACCCCTGGTCCTTAACAGGCTGTTCCACTGAAGGTACAGGCCGCTTGAGAGTGGGGCTTTTTACACACCATTTTTCCTTACGAGACTTCTGCCCCTTCGGGGCAGAAAACCAGTTTTATTCATCTCTGCCACACTATGCCCAGTAAAGCATTTCTTTTTATTTGTCTTTAAAAAAAAAAAGTAATGTTTCATATAGCATCTCAACAGGGCATGCTTCTGGCTAAACTTACCTCAGCTGCCCTCCCTCTTTTACCTACTGCCCTAGGCAAACTGGTTTTAGCTGGACTCAGAGAAGGATCTAGCAGTGCGAGGGAAGGGCGGCAGAATGGAATGCCATAAGAGAGACACGCGTGAAGAAAGAGAGGGAGAGTGAGGATGGAAAAAAGGCCCTTCAGTGGAACACTGCCCATGAGCAGGATGTGCTGTCAGTCTGTCACCTCTTATCACAAACCTCCAAAATGTCGAAGCATTTTCACTCCCGAGAAACTGCTCTTTTTCTTTAAACCTTTAGATAAAACCAAAAACTACAGGGTGGAGTTTCTACCCCTTTGTCCTACTGTTTCATCTCAAATTACGTTGTTCAAAGAGGCAGATTCTTTGTACTAACATATACATATCTGTACATGTATGTGTGAATATGTTTATATTTATATATATATACATATACATATAGTATGTATATATTCCTTCAAAAGGCCATGTCAAACACGTGTGTGTATATATGTGTATGTGTTTATATATGTGTGCATATATATATATATTTATATATATTTGTGTGTGTTTATACAGTGAGAAATATATATTGAGAAAAATAGATTGCCATTCACTATATATACATATACTCCTTTTTCAAGTCATTTAGAGTACGGTTGAGAACAGAAGAAAATAAGTAAATAAACTGGGACTAGCAGATGGCATAGCAGGTACCTGGCTGGACTCCCACACGGCCGACGGCAGTTCAGGACCTGTCACACCAGGTGCATGTGCACGCACCCAAGATCCTGGGAGGGGAACGGAGCAGGGATTGCGGCTCAGCCATCCCCCGTGGGGGGTGATTTCTCACTTTCCTTCTCATTGTCACTGTCTCTGTCCAGTGAACACACATGCCCTAAGGCAAAAACCTCTAAAAGAAATATTAACCAAAAATATTCCCCTGGTGTAACAAGTGTAAAGACACCGGCGTGCACAGTGTGCTCTGGAGAGACAGGAGGCGGAGACTGGAAAATACAGCCACTGCATCACTCGTGTCTATTTCAAAAGGTACTAACACGGAGTATTCAACCACTGGATCGTCGGGAAAGTCATGGATATTTCTGTGTTCCTATGCAAAAATGTGTCATGACTTTTCCAACGACCCGGTACGTACACACAAATGTGGCAGAGGTTTCTATCAGGGCATCTGGTTTTACAGTGTCCGCAACAAGAGTATGACACCACCACCATGGCCACCAGGTGGCAGTAGCAAAACAATGAAACACTACGTAAGGAAAATTGCCATTTCAGAAATCAAACAATGGTCTAAGGGTTAGAAAAGGGCGGGGTGAGGGGACTAGCAGGTTCTCTGTGGACAGTGTGTAACGTGGCTCTTCACCATCTGCCTGAGTGGCCACCAAAGGCCCCTCAGTTCTCACTCCTCAGGATCAGGTCAGTACCAAGGGCTTCGATTTTCTGTGGACTTCGGTCAGGTTTTCTCACAGCGCCATCACTGACCCCTCTCCTAGCCCACCCTGTACTGTGCCATGTGACAACTACGCAAAGGTAAGACATGCTCTCAGAGCACAAAGAGAGTGTAGGTATACTGTCTGATAATCTGCTGCATGTGGCCACGGGCAGGCAGTGTCATGGAGTGGACCGAACCGGGCCGCTTTCCCGGGTGCGGTGTTAGTCTTGCTGCAGGTGGAGCCCGCAACAACAGAGAGAACTCATTAACTCTGACTCTTTCGGAATGAGGCCAGTTTTAAGTCAGTGAGATCAGAATTTGATAGTTAAACACAGGCTTCTCATCAAATCTGAGAAGCAGGGAAAACACACAGTACATGTGAGTAAAAAGAATGCAAATGTTTGAGAACAGGTGAAATCTTTGAAATCCACGAACTTCAGAAGTGAGGAGTACTTAGGCCTCTAATCTTTATCTTATAGATCAGAAAAAATATCAAATATGCCCAAGGTCAAATTACTCACAACGTGGGGCCCAGACAGAGCTATGAAGGGATATGCTTAACCTGCAGGTCTGAAGCAGGTCGTGACACGCTCCTCCTGACCTGCCTTGGTGACCCGGCAATTACACAGGGCTATGGCCCTATCGGATATCCATAGTTGGTCAACTGCAGCTGTTCCAAGGAATAATCAATATATTGACCATTTCCCAGAAAGGCTCCTATCTAAACTTAAGGGGAAAATAAAAATCGGAATACACGGCATTACAGAAACCTTTCAAAATAAAGATTACAAAAGAAAATGAATTGCAGCAGGGCAGAGGCATTCCCCACAGCAAGCAGAAGGAAAGGCGCCCCCCAGTGGAGCACGGTCATGCCGCAATCCCTTCCCCATTTCTCCAGCCTGCCAGGATTTGGGGCACACCTGCACATATGCCCAGCGGGTTTCTCAAGCCTCCAGGGCCACGGCTTGAACTATGGTTGGCAATGTGGGAGGGATCTGGCTCCTTTAACCTCTCGGCTACAGGGTTGGCCCTAACCACTTCTCTTTATGACTCAAAATCCAGGAAGAACAGTAAAAACAGAAATGAAAGCACGTAAAAATAAAATTTTACTGAAAATGCCATAAATTGAAAGACAAATGACAATAGTATTTGAAGGTTAAATGCCCAAATATATAGCATGCTTATAAAAAAATCAGAGGAGAGGGACCAGCAGTTAGTGTAATGGCTATGTCGCTGGACTCCCATGTAGCCGACCGCAGTTCAAGTCCTGGACCCGGCGGCTTAAAACTCATGCCAGGCGCGTGTGCCTGTGTGCCCAAGATCCCGAGAGGAGAATGGAGGAGGGGACTGCGGCGTGGCCATCCGCCCTGGGGGGTGATTTCTTGCTTTCTATCTCTCTGTCTCTGTCTTTCTGGCGAGCGCACGCACCCTATAGCAAAAACCTCCCAAAAAAATATATATGTATATCAGAGGAGAAAAAAGGAACCTGCAGAAGTGAGTCGAAATGAGCCCACCCATTGGGCAAGGAACAGAACCGTGCATGGGCTGGATCCCACGCGGCTGAACGCTGTCTGAATCCCGGCCCCAGTGGTCAGGCGTGGGTACCCCTAAATCCTGAGGGGATGGGAAGGTGAAGGAAAAGGACTGTGGCATGCCCATCCCTCACGAGAAGATGCTTTCTCTCTGGCCAGCACAAACATTCTCTGGCAAATTTTTTAAAAAGTGCAAGAAATTAGAACAAGCAGCTTACAGAATGAGAGATGCAAACGACCTTCACCTATGGAAAGACGCTCAGCCTCACTCACACGAGGAGAAATATGGGGACCAGCAGATGGTGTAATGGTTACATTGCTGGACTCCCACGAAGTCGGCTTGGGTTTGCGGTTCGGACCTAGTGGCTTAAAATTCACACCGGACATGTGTACCCAAAATCCTGAGAGGAGAATGGACAAAGAAGCAATTGCAGTATGGCCATTCCTTCTGGGTGGCGATTTCTCACATTCTGTATCTCTCTGTCTCTGTCTCTCTGGCAAGTACACACACCCTATGGCAAAAAATCTTAAAAAAGGAGGGGACCAACAGTTAGCGTAATGGCTATGTCCAAGCTGGCCCATGTTAGATCAAATAATAGGATTTCCCTCTAAACCCTAAGTATCAGAATACAAATTTACTAGCTTTGGGAACAATTGTAAAACTAGCAATAATAAACAAGTTTAATTTTGGAAGTAGATTATTATTTAAGGTTCACATTTTAGACATTCCCATAGATAAAATAGAATTGTCCTGCATGCAGTACGTTCATAGGGTGACAGCAGCCTTAGAAAATGCATCAGAGGGTCTGGCAAGTGGCATGGTGGTTAAAGGCACTGGACTCCCACATGGCCGACCATGGTTCAAGTCTCGGACCTGATGGCTTGCTTCCTCCCTTCCTCTCTCTCTCTCTGTCTCTCTCGGATCAAACTGGAAAATAATAATGATAATAATAATAAATAAAGTTAAATAAAAATAATTCTTTTAAAAAAATCTTTAAAAAAATAATAGTGAGAGAAATACAAATTAAAGCTACACTTAGTTACCCTTTCTACTTTATCATGTTAGCTGAAAATTAAAAGCATGACCACAGTTCAAATCCCAGCCCCGGCAGCTTGAAAGCACTCTGGGTACACACATGCCGCAAATCCCTACAGGATGAAGAAGAGGAGAGACTGTGGTTACCATGCACTACTGCTCTCTGTCCCCTTTTCTGGCAACTGCATGTGCCCTTTGACAATTAAAAAAAATAATAAATGTATTTCCAAACTCCCTAAGTCCTAATACCAGGGAGCAAGTTAATAGCAAGAACATCTCTGCTACTCTGTGGTCTCTATAAGTACCATCCCTCCCACTCAAGAGAACCAGGGCTCTTTGGAGGCCAGAAATGCAAAAGTGAGTCAGGATCACGTTCCACCAGAGAATAAGGAAATTACCAAAACTACGGGTCAGATCAAACGGAATAGGAGGCAATTAAAGGAGTTCTCATAGGCCAAAGATAGAAAAATATGAGTGCCAAAAAAGAACGAGATTGTAATTTATTAAAACAGTTTAAATATATTAATTCGGTACATTTTACTATAACTTTTTCTAAAGGCAAAACCCCTCATAGTTACCTTTGGAGGTTGTTAGGCCATGAACTCATTACTGTAGTCTGAAAATGGAAAGAATTATGCATTTTATTTGCCTTTGCTGTACAAACTACTGGGTGGTCAGGAAAGTCTAGACGCATCTTTGCACGGGACAACAGACTACGTGACTTCCCTGACAACCTATTGTCTTACGGTAGTCAAATAGCTGGTAAGATTCCCAGTGAATAAATACTACAGGAATGAAGAACTAGAAGATCACTCTGAAACCTGTGATGCAGTCCTGGATACTGACAACCGGAGTTCGTGAAAGCATTTCACCACTAGGCGACAGGCTCTAGGGAATTCGTACTGACACCCAAACCCGCTCTAGGGCTCAATCTTAACACCGAAAAGGGCAGACATCTTAAACACTAACTGCCTCCCCAGCGATGAAACGGGAAGGTCACTGCACTACCTTCTCCCCACCCCGCCCCACACGCACCCCGAGGCTCAGTATCTCGTTTCTAGGCCAGTACTGTTCGCCCCACACGCACCCCGAGGTTCAGTATCTCGTTTCTAGGCCAGTACTGTCCAACAGAACTTTCTGCGGTTACTGGGCAGCCTCCATCTGCCTGGTGGTTAAGGCAGCCAGATTCCACATGGCAACCACGGCTCCAAGTCCTGAACTCAGCGGTGCCCGTGCATGCCCCAAATCCTGGAGTGGAGAGATGGAGCAAAAGGGGCTGCCGCGCACCCCGAGGTTCAGTATCTCGTTTCTAGGCCAGTACTGTCCAACAGAACTTTCTGCGGTTACTGGGCAGCCTCCATCTGCCTGGTGGTTAAGGCAGCCAGATTCCACATGGCAACCACGGCTCCAAGTCCTGAACTCAGCGGTGCCCGTGCATGCCCCAAATCCTGGAGTGGAGAGATGGAGCAAAAGGGGCTGCCGCAGGACCGTGCCCATGGGGGTGCTTTCTCCCTCTCCCCCTCCCTGGGGAGCACATGTGCCCTCTAGGAAACTTCATTTTTTAAGTAGGAACTTTCTGCAACATGGAAATGGTTATATCTGCAGTGTGAGAACAGCAGCCGGGAGATGCCCTGGGGCTGCGGAGCACTGGGCATGTGGCTGCGTGTAGCTACGTGTGGCTACGTGTGGCTGCATGTGGCTACGAGTGGCTGCGGCAGCTGGGGAGCTGGACTCTCCTCGCTTGGCTTAACCAGCGTAAGTGACCACAGCTAGCGGCCGCTTCCACGGTTCCACAGTTCCGGCCCTAGCCCCTACTGCAGAGGACTCTCAGAGAGGAGAGGAGCATGTCATAACCAAAGACATCACTGGGGCAAACGCGAGAGAAAAAGATGTAAAATGGGTCAGCCAAGCCCACCGGGCGGCTTCCTGTGGGACTCTGGTTCAAACAAGCTCACTGTAAAAACAAACCCATGGGACTGTTAAGGAACTCTAGACTCTGACTCAACCGGTCTTACGGGATTTCATTGACCTGTACAGGTTTAACGACAGAACTGTACCTCTGTAAGGAGCAAACCGAGCTCCTGTAACCTAAGTACCCAGACCTCGGTTCCTGGACCGTATCAGTGAATACAGCCTAGCTGGATCTCAAGTCCAGTTGACATCTTTAAAAGAAGGAAGCTGGGGGGGGAGGGGCAACAGATAGTGTAGTGGTTACCTCTCTGGACTCCCACATGGGTGACTGCGGTTCAAGTCTCAGGCCTGGAGGCTTGAAGATCAGGCAGATGCTTCTCTGCCCAAGACCCCAGGAGGATAATGGAGAAGAAAGGGATTGCCACATAACCATCTGCACTAGGGTGATTTCTCACTGTCTCTGTCTCTCTCCTACTGGGGGGTGATTCCTCTCTCTCTCTGTCTCTCCAGCAAGCCTATCCTATGGCAAAATTCGCTTTAAAAAAACGGCTCTGACTGAGTGGACTACAGTGGGGCCCACAAGGGCGGCCACAGTGTGAGTGGTCACAAGAAGGACCAACAGAGGCCTCCCACCCCTTAAAGGGAGGAAGGGTCAGTGTATCCACGTGCGGTTTCACAGGTAGTTTTAAATCGGAATCTACACACATTTTAAAAGGCAGTGTGCCTGAGTGCTCATAAATCTCTGCCCCATCTCGGTTCGAGCCTTCACTACACAGACCACTAATAATCAAAAGGCAAGCGGGTCACAGGAACACCGATCTGAAGACTGCGCCACATTCCGACGCTGACACCCCTGTACTGTTCAGTTACAGCTATTACGTGCCAGTGTGAATATGTGACGGTCATGTGTGGTGGGCCAGCCTCCTGCTGCTCTTCTAGAATATAGTTTTAAGAATTATTTAATTTTATTATTACTTTTTTCTAATTTGCTATAAGGCACAGGCGCTCACCATGTGAGAAAGTGAGAAAGCAAGCCACCAGGTGGGGGACGCCGCGGCTGGCCACAGGGGAGTCCAGCGCCTCAGCCACCAGCCACCTGCCGGCCGGGGGACATGTTTTGAGGACAATGAATCCCACGCACGGCTCAGGAAAAGCCACTTGGTGCAAGTCAGTGTGCTGTGCGCGACCATGGAGGACCCTCTCTAAGTTCACTCGCCCTGGGTGTGGCCTGCTCCTGCTCCCCACGCGCGCAGCCCCCCGGGAAGTGCGGTACCCCTAGGGCAGGTGGGCTGCTGAGCCCAAAGGGCAGGTGCCTGCAAGGTGTCAAAGGCGGACCAGCCTAGCACATCCGGCACGGCCTGTGAGCGTCGGG